GCCACCCACCTCTACATGTGAACTCCATGTAGGCAGGAATCTGTCTGTTTTGCCTCCTGCTATGGTCCCAGCACTGAGAACAGCCCCTGCCCCCCGGGAGGCGCTCAGTAAATAGATGATGAGGAATGACAGAATCTCGCTGTAGGAACCCCAGGCACCCGGGCACTGCACTCATTACATCAAGCCACTCAGCACCCAGCCTGCCTATCATGCCTTATAAACTCCTCGGACCATCCGCGTTTCCCCCTTCCCACTGCCAGCAACCCTACTCAGTTCTTTCCTTCTTCATGAAACATCCTTCTCCCTTCTTTTCCCCTAGGTAGCTCTTATTCCTCCTTCACAACTCAGAACCAGCGTCACCTCCTCCAGGAAGCCTTCTCTGACCATCCCCAGGCAGATTTCATCACACATTGGGCTGAGGATCTGATGGATGCCCATCTGTAATGTGCTCCTCACTGAATGGGGTGCTCTTCCACTGAAACCCCCACGATCTAAAACACATTCACCCTTGCACGTAGCAGGTGCTTGAAACAAAGCTCTCGGATGGACAAACAGCATGGCACCTAGGACCACATTTGACTCTCATACTAATAATCTATGATTGCAATAAAGACGAGGGGTAGGGGAGGGAAGAGGGGGGGACCAAAAACATGGGCTTTGTGGTCAAACTGTGTGGGTCCTGATTCTGGTTTCCTCCTCTCGGCAGCTGGGCTATCTTGGGAAATTCCTTTAACCTCTCTGTGCTCGTTTTCTCAGGTAGCAATTGGGGCTAATAAGAATACCACCTCGTAGGTTCATCGAGAGTACAGAAGAGGATTATGTTATGCAAAGTAGTTAGACAAGGGACCGGTGCACAGTAAGCACTTAATAAAAATGAGCCTGCTATTTCCCCCATTTTTCTTCTTCTAAAAAGTACCATTGCTTTGAGCTGTTTTGCTCTCCACGGACCCATTTCTTCTTGATCTTTCAGGTTCTCAAGCTCTTTGTGTTTTCAAAGGCTGGTGTGTGTATTCTAGAGAGGGAAGCGCTGAGAGAGGCTGGGGGTTGTGCGGAGCAGAGGGCTGGGGCTGGAGGGGAAAGAGGCGGGATGGTGATTTGGGGGAGGTTGCAGGGCAACGTCTGGGGGAGGGGGCTGGAGTGGCCAGGGAGAAAGCTCTGCGGTGTGTTCTCAGGCCCCCTTGGCCCCAGCCTCCTGGCTGGCCTCCCGTCTCTCTCCTCCAGTCTGTCCCCCACAAGGCCCCAGGAGGGATTATCCTACCTCCAGAGCTGCCCCTGCTCTCAGCCCCTCCTGTCTCCCTCTGATAATTGCAGAGCACTGGGGACAGTGCCTGCACGTAGCAAATGCCATGTGTTTAAGACAGATACATACGTATATAAGTGTATAAACAAAGAGAATCCTTCAAGTTTCCATTTACTGGTCACCTCTTCTAGGAAGCCTTCCAGAAGCACCCTGTAAGCTCTCAGGTGGAGCTTAGCTGACCAGTCCTCTTTACCCTCCTCCCTCCCACTCTCTAACTTCTTCTCTCTCACAATTGTGAGCCCTGATTTCCAATTTTTTTTTTTTGTCTTTTTCTCCTCCATTAGGTTCTCAGCTGCTCAAGAGCAGCAGGCTCCAAATGCCTAGCAAAGAGTAGGTGCACACAGTAGGTGCTCAATAAGTGTTTGTTACCTCGAATTGGGTTCTGTTAACAAAGAGAGATTCCAGATTGGGCCTAAGCCGCTCACAAGCTCAAATGTTCTAGATTTCTCTGTGATGATGTGTGCATTCGATCCTGTTCTGCTTCCTGACCTCTGAGTCTCTGTTTCTAGATAAACAGGGAGTAAACTACCAAGAACAGTAATCTCTCAATAAACGTTTCAATGACTACGGTGAGCATCGGTGTTCGAAGGGCGATTTGCATGTATCAGCTCATTTAATCCTCACAAAACCTGGGATTGATCATGACCATCACTTCCTCCATTTTCCAAGTCAGGAAACTGAGACCCAGAAAGGTGATGTCACTTGCTCAGTGTCCCTGGCTAATCCCAGCAGGCCTGGGGTTTGAGGCGAGCCTGCTGGCTCCTGAGTCTGTGCTCTTGACTTGCAGAACAGCTGTCATTTACCCAGCCGCCCCACGCTGCAGGCACCGGGGAAGCACCTCCCCGTGCTTGGTCTCACAGTAACCTTCCAACAGCTCTGCGAGAACCCCATTTCAGAGAGGAGAAACCCGACTCAGAGATGTGATGTCTGTTGCCCAAAAGACACCCACCCCGGAAGTGGTGGGGCTGGTCTCAAGTGGCCTGAGGGCAGAGCCTGATTTTAAGCGCCCCGTTCTTGCCCATGGCTCTCCAACCAAGGGTCTGAAACTCATGCACACCCACAGGGACCAGGGCAGGTGAAACACGGAAGTGGCAGGGCTAAGTGTGAGGTAACAGGGAGCGGTGGGGTCTGGGGCAAACCTGAGCGCCAATGCCCTATCTAACTGCAGTGGCCGTCTGCCACACAAGAACGTGGGCTCAGCCTCTTCCCATGTTTCACGAAAAGCCAGAGACCAAACATTTTATGGAGAGTGCTCTGGTTTCAGACTGGGGGTGGGGGCTGGGGCGTGGTTAAAACTTCCTTGGCCAGCTGGGTGTATCTCCCAGCCCTCTCAGGGGTTTTTCATTTGCCCCTTGTAGCGTTAACACTTACAGGGAGCTTATTTGTGAGCTTGTTCATATAATGTCAGCCTTCCTGTTCAGTCTGAACATGCCAGGAGGGCAGGGGACGTGTCTACCCTGCTCAACACCTTCTCACCCCAATGAAGTATCTTTAGCCCCCATGTGGGACCTGGCCCTGTATTTACCGAATCAACAGATGGGTCTTTCCCTCTTTGTCCTGTAGTTTACTCTGGCAGCTCTGTCTCTGACCTCTTTGTAGGTGTCCCAAACCTGGCTCTCACCCATTTTTCTGGTGCTGGCTGGAGTCTCTGGCTCCATGTCTCCATGTTTCTGGAATATTCTGTCTTTTTTTTTTTTTTTTTTTGGCTTTCTTCAATGTGCCCATCTCACTCTCTGCCTCTAAGTCCCTGTTCAAGTCTGTAATTGGAGCCCGCCCTGTCACTCACTGTGCGTGCCTTTGTCCTTGCAGCTCACTGGCTGCCTGCCTTTCTCCAGGACTGTCTTGGCTTCTCTGCAAGGTGTACTTAGTTAGCTGTTTTGGTAGGCATCTCTCTCTCCCCATCTCTTGGTGGGGGGCTCTCTGCCTACTCCTCCCCCTCCCCCCCAACACCCCCCAGCAGGGCACGGCTCAGCTCACGCACCCCACGGTGGGCCGGCTGGGCGCGCGCACGTCCTTGCACACGAGCCGCACGTAGCTGTACTTGAGCACGTCGATGAGCGTGTAGAGCGGGGGTGCGCTGGCCCAGCGGCAGCGCGCCAGGTGCATGGAGCTCTTGACGAAGAAGAGCGCCAGCCGCTGCTGGCACCACGCGTCGAAGAAGCGGCTGAACTCGGCCCATGAGAAGAAGGCACGCTCCCGCAGCTCCTGCTCCTCCTGCCCCGCCGTGCTGGGTGGGGACTCCATCCTGGGGCGCCTGAGTGGAAGGGAGGGCACGTGGATATCAGACCCATCCCCACCAGGGGTATCCCACTTCCTCCATTTTCCGCCTGCCTCTTTGGTCCTGGTGCCTCTTTCTAGGTGGGGCCCAGGGTGGGATGCACCCCTGTTAATATCTAGATATGAATCTACACTCTATCTTTGGCTTTCTCCCATTTCTGCATTATTCCCGGGACAGCTGGAGCCTGTCATCCTGATCCCTAATTTCAGCTCTGGCCCCCTCTGTAGATGTGCCCGTAGGTACAGTTGGGGTCCCTCTCCCAAAATATAACCCTTAAGTTCAGTGGTGGACACCTCCAATGTATTCCCAACTTCCAGCTAAGACCTCCTCCCCCCTCCGGATATATCTCCTATACCTGGCCATAACCTCTATAGCGCCCCCATTCATATGAAACCCCCCCTTCTACGTGTCTACACTTGGCTGTAACTCACATCCATCTTTGCCCTCTTCTAAAGATGTTCCATGTCTAGATGTGCTCCCGCATCCAGTCATGGACCCCTCATCCCCAGACATATTCTTCACGCACCTGTGGCTCCCTCCTCCCTGGGATGTGGCTCCGATATGCAGCTGTTTCCCCGGATGTGACCCCATGGGTCGCCACATCCAGCTGTAGCCCCTGCCTCCGAGAGGCTCCCATATCCAGATGTCCTTCTCACATCCAGTATGTACTTTTCGCCCACAGGTGTGTGCCTCATTCACTTGTGGCCAATTCTCAGAAGTGTCACCAATACTTGTCTGTGCCCACCTCCTGCCCAGACGCGCCCCCCAGTCCAGCTGTAGCTCCCTCCTCCCATTTGCAGCTATTGTACTCCCCAGATGTGCATTCTGGTCCTAGACATGGCCCCTCGTCCTCAGATGGGCTTCATCACCCCAGATGCTCCCCCACGTCCAGCTGCGCCTCCCCCCACCCCGCCCCCGTGCAGCCCCTCCCAACCCGCTTCCGCCTCCCCAAGCCCTCCCAGCCCCTCCTGCCGCGGGGCCCTCCCACCTCCGCTGTCCCACCCAGCTGTGCCTCTCCCCTCCCCCAGATGTGCACCCTTCCCGCCCCTCCCCACTCACCTACCCGCCCCGGAGCGGCGTCCACCTCCCACAATGCTCCGCGCCGAGGCCAGGCCCGGCCCTTGCTCCCGGGATGCCCCGCGCGGCCTCCCGCCTCTCTTCCCGCTGTACCTCGCGCAGCGGCTTCCACCGAATCTCCCTCTTTCCCCGCCAGTCACTTCTCAGACCCGCAGCTACACCCACCCACCCAGAGCGAGGGAAGGCGCGGACCGTTTCCCATCGTGCTCTGCGGGAGGGCTCACCCTACTTCACCCCTTTCCTAGTAGCCTCCCGTCCGGGAGACTACAACTCCCAGCGTCCTCCGGAAGGCAGCGGCGGCGCGGACGACGCCCGGGCCCCGCCCCTCGGCACGGCCCCGCCCCCGCCCGCCAAAGTCTGCGCGCGAATTCCGTGGCGCCAATTGAGGGCTGCGGTCGGGCGCCGAGCGGTTCCGGGTGTGACGCGCAGGACAGTGGCGCGCGGGGCCGGCAAGAGGCAGGTGGGGCCGCCGACGCGGGGCTGGGAAACTGGGGGGTGGCGGGCGTGTCGTACGCTCCGGGCCCACGGCTCCGCCGGGTCGGTCGGCTGCAGAGGAGCGGGCGTCGGGGACGCTCAGGCGGCCAGGAGCGCGGCGGGGAAGGGAGAGCGCCGGCAGCGGGTCCCTACAGGGCACGGGGGGGGACGTCCGCCGGAGGGAGAGGGCCAGGTAGAGGGTAGTCGGGGGCCAGAGTCAGTAGGACCCGACAGGGTTTGAGGAGAGGCCCGGGAGGCGGGGCTGCCACGAGGGGGGTGGTCACAGAAGCTCGAGGGGCGGGCCCCTGGGGCCGGTCGGGTAGACTCGGTGGGCTGGGCCATCGGAAATTGCGTGGTCGGGGAGACAGGCCCACCTGGAAGGGGGTGGGGACGGGGCAAAGTTTGTTAGCGGGCGGGGCCGGGGAAAGGTTCAAGGAGAGGGAGAAGTGGGGTCGGCTTTAGACGGTGTGGGGGGAGGATCCCGCTGGACGGAGGTGGGGCAGAGAGGTCTGTGGTCTGGTCCAGGTCTAGGCCAAGGCCTTAGGAAAGGTCGGGACCCTTCTGTATAAGGAGACGTCTGGCTTTGTGGATGCCGGATGAGGGGGGCGGAGCGGAGGTAGGGTTGGACCACCGGGCTGGGAGGCCAAGGCCTGGGAAGGGAAGGGGCCTTGGAGAGAGTAAAACTCAAAGGTCTCGGCTTATTGTTGCCCTAAGGGGTGGACGGAGGGCCAGAGGAGCTTGGGGAGCGGAGAGAAAAGGATACTGATGTCCTTAGGAGAGGGGGAGGCTTGAAGGATAAGGCAAGGGGGGCGGGGTGCACTTGGCTGGGAGAAGAGATGAGCATTTGGGAAGGGGGGCTGGCATCTGAAAGCTGAGGGGAATCATTGAGGAGAGACAGCAGGACGTGGGATGAAGGACACATCACTTCTTGGCCTCCAACCCCATTTCATCCTGTTTGAATACTCTGACCTTTTAGCCTCAGGGAGGCATGAGGGAAAGGCCAGGGGGGTCTAAGTAAGACCTTAATTTCGTCTTATCTTAGGATCCCTGGGAGCTTGCTAAGCCTGCAGGTCCCCCTTCTATACCCAGAGCTTCTGATTAGTAGGTCTGGGAGCAGGCTGGACTGTTTTACACGTAATCCCAGGTGAGATTCTTAGAACTGACACTGTGTTTCTGGGATCCACCATTGGCTGGCTGTGTGGCCTTGAACCACTTACTTTCCTTCTCCTGTCCCAGCTTCCTCATTGTCTTTTGGGTGATGCTGAGCTGTTCTGAGCTTCAGAGGATGAGAGTAGCATATTTAGGGGAATGGTATAAAATACTTTCCACGGATGGAGAGTGGTCAGGGGAACAGGCAGGTCAGGAAACGTGAGCTTTTATTAATGAGAAGAAAAAGACTTGAGCCTTTTGGCTGGTCATCCTCAAACTGCTTAAAGACCCTTTGAGGGGCGCCTGGGTGGCTCAGTCAGTTAAGCGTCTGCCTTCGGCTCAGGTCATGATCCCGGGGTCCTGGGATCGAGCCCCGCGTCGGGCTCCCTGCTCTGTGGGAAGCCTGCTTCTCCCTCTCGCACTCCCCCTGCTTTTGTTCCCTCTCTCGCTGTGTCTCTCTCTGTCAAATAAATAAATAAAATCTTAAAAAAAAAAATAAAGACCCTTTGATATCGTGCTCCTTCTCACATGGCCTGTGGGTTTTGAAAGATCCTGCTTATGAAGCCTAAATTCTTTAGTAATGATGTTTTTGTTACCCTGATTTTTAAAAAAATATTTATTTATTTATCTGAGACAGGGGAGGGGTAGAGGGAGAGGGAGAGTCCCAAGCAGGCTCCATGCCCAGTGTGGAGCAGACGTGGGGCTCGGTCTCAGGACCCTGAGATCATGCTCTGAGCCGAAAACAAAGAGTTGGGAGCTCAACCAACTTCGCCACCTAGGCGCCCCTGTTACCCTGATTTTTAAATAAAGGCATACATATGGGCCAATGCATTCAGTGCCAGGCACTGTTTTAGGTCCTGTGGCCATGTCGCTGAACAAAATGGACAAAATCCTTATCTTTGTGCACCTCAGCGTTTTAGCCCTGTACTGCTTAATAGAGTAGCAGCTAGCCCCATGTAGAGATTTAAATTTAAGCTCATGAGAAACAGATGAAAATCTCAGCTCCTCAGTGGCACTAGCTGCATTTCAAATACTTGAAGCCACATATGGATAGAGTGACCTCTTTGGACTCTGCAGGTATAGAACGTTTCTATCATGCAGAAAATTGTGTTAGAAGCAGTACTCGAGAGAGTGAGACAAAACCTAATTGAGAAGATCCAGTTGCGTTAACTGCTGGGGAGGAGGAGAGTGAGGGGTTAGTGTAGCAGGCTGGGGCTGGCGGTAGCCGGACCTGCACTCGGAGCAGTGGGATGCTGAGAGGTGGTTGACAGTGGGTGGTCTTTGGGAGGCAGTGCCAGTGGGATTCGTGGGTCCATGAGTTTGGGGTATGAGAAGAGAGGTGAATCCGGTGAATCAACAATCCAAGGGTTGTTTTTGTTTTTGTTTCTTTAAAGATTTTATTTATTTGAGAAGAGAGCACAAGCAGGGGGTAGTGGCAGAGGGAGAGGGAGAAGCAGACACCCCGCTGAGCAGGGAGCCCCATGCAGGGCAGGGCTCGATCCCAGGACTCTGGGATCATGACCTGAGCCGAAGGCAGATGCTTAACTGACTGAGCCACCCAGGCATCCCATTTTGTTTTGTTTTGTTTTGTTTTTAATTAAAAAATTACATATAGCGAACTTACTCTTTTTGGTGTATACTTCTTTTGATTTTGAAATGTGTAGAATTATGTATAAAGACCGCCACCATCAAGATACTACAGTTTCATCACTCCAAAAAGTGATTGTGTTCCTCGTCTCTAGGTACCGCCCCCCCTCCCCCCACCAGCAACTATCGGTCCCTCTCCATCCCTGCAGCGTACCCGAATATTCTTTTTTATTGCCAAGCGAGTGTAAACAAGCTTTAGTACATCCTACAGTGGGATACTGTTCAGTAAGTTGTAGGATGTACCATAGTTTGCTCATCCATTCCCTGTGGGAGGACATTTGGATCATTTTTGGTGACTGTAAACAGATCCGCTGCAGTAGACATTCACTTACGGGGTTTTGTGTGCACATAGGAGTTCTCTGGGTAAATCCCTCGGAGTAGGGTTGCTGGGTCATATGGTAAGCATATGCCTCACCGTTTGAGAAGCTGCCAGGCTTCTCCAAAAGTGACCGAACCATGTTGAATTCCCTCCAGAAAAGTGTGAGACTTCCCATTGTTCCACATCCTCACCAGCACTTGATGTTGTTTGGTGTTTTGTTTTGTTTTGTTTTGTTTTTAATGGTTAAATAGGCATGCAGTGGACTCCAGGGTTTTTGACTGGAGCAGTTGGGTGACAAAAGCTACCACTGCAGAGATGGGAGAAGGAGTACGTGTGTGTGTGTATGTCATCTGGAGTTTGGTTTTGGTCCCACTGAGGTGGAGGTGTTGGTTGGACATCCAGATGTCAGAGCAGAAAACCAGGATGTGCCCCCTTGAGTTTAGAGGGCTAGTGACAGACGGAGTGAGACATTTGGGGGCCCTGATCACATTGCATGAGATCTCTAAGGGAGTGGGTGTAAACGGGACAGAGGGGGGGGCCTAAGGATTGGGCCTCGGGCACTGCAACAGTTAGAAAGCTAGTTGCCATCTTGGGGCGCCATGGCTCAGTCAGTTAAGCATCAGCCTTCGGCTCAGATCATGATCCTGGAGTCGCGGGATCGAGCCCCCCATCGGGCTCCCTGCTCAGCAGGGAGTCTGCTTCTTCCTTTGCCCTTCACCTGGCTCGTGCTCTCTCGCTCTCAAATAAATAAATAAAATTTAAAAAAAAAAAAAGGTCTTAAAAAAAATTAGTTACTATCTCAGTTTTCTGTTGCTATTGTACCAAATCATCCCCTTTGCCACTTAACAAGCCCTGTGATTCCAGGCATCTTTCTGTGCCTCTGTCTCCTCCTTGGCGAGATGGGGATAAAAATGGAAAATGTTGGATTGTGTTGTTGGGAAGTATTGGGTAACATCATTTTACCCTGGTTATCTCAACAGCCCCGAGATCTAAGGGCCGCCCGCCACCCCTTCGATCCCAATACAGGGGGACCCTTGTCCTCCTCACTCTCAAGAATAGGTAGTAGTTAAGGACACAGACTTTGGAACCGGACACCTGTCTTCGGATCCTGGCTTCGAAACCCATTCGGCTGTCTGGCCTTGAGCAAATCACTCGACCTCTCTGTTTCCTTTGCCTTGTTTGTAAAATCAGGATAATAACGAATGGTGATAGATTTTGTGTGAATTACTTCATATAAAGCATTTGGAATAGTGCCTGGGCCCTAGTAAGCACCCCAGTTAATAAACTTGATTTTTTTTTTTTTTTTACAGAAAAAATATTAAGTGAAAAAAAATTCAGGTTTTACATAGATAGTGTTGAAATTTCAAAGGTGATGTGGAGAATGTCTGAAGTTTGGGAAATAATTTTTGGAGGAGAGGGGAGGGAACCAGGCCCAGCCCCATGGCTCGAGAGCTCCCAGTCTGATTGGAAAGATGAACTGTGACATAATCAGAATGCAGGATCAACGCAATATGTGTGAGAAGAGAGGTACCAGTTACCCACCACGGGAGGTCAGGAAATGGAGTGTCTCTCCTAGCAGGTACCCAAGGGAGGCCTCTGGACACCCATCCAGTGCTCAGAGCTGGGCAGGAGGGGACCAGCTGCTGGTGGTCCCGGAGGGCACTCCCCAGAGGGAACCTGGAGGAAGGGGGTAGGAGGCTAGATCATAAAATTTGAATAGTTATGTGGGGTCTAGATTTACTTTTTTTTTTTTTAATGAATGGGTAATAAATATGCAGGGTTTAAAATAAAATTGGGATTAGAGGTATGCAGGGACAGGTATGGTTCACAGCCTTACTCCCAGTCACCTCGAGTGCCCTCAACCACTTTTGCTGGTTTCTTGATTATCCTTTCACAGTTTCTATTCGGCAAACGAAAGCAGGACCAAAGAATAGATAGGTTCCTATTTTCTCCTGTCTTACGAAATCAGTAGCATATTATGTACACTGTTCTGCCACCTTTTTTATTACTGTTTAAAATGTTACTTAAGATACCTAGAACATCTTTCTATATCAGTATATGGAGAGTGTCTTCATTCTACTTTTTTTTTTTTTTTTACTTTTTGTCTTGAAAGGATTATATAGACGTGCCGGAAGTTATAAAAATAGTACAACTGTCTTCCTCCTGGTGGCATCTTATATAATCGTAGTCCAGTATCAAAACCAGGAAGTCGGCGTTGGACAATACCGTGAGCTAGACCACATAGCTGGTTCAGCTGTGTGTGTGTGTGCGAAGTTTGAGCCCGGGTACAGATCTGTGTAACCACCACCGCAGTCAGGATATGGAACAGTTCTGTCTTCACAGAGGCTCTCGCTGTGCTCCCCATTTATAGCTGACTGCCCCCCCCACCTTTTGTCCCTAAGCTCTGACCACCCCAATCTCTTCCCCATCCTAAGTTTTGTTATTTGGAGAATGTTCCAGAAATGAACTGTACAGTACGTAACTTTCTAAGATTGGTGTTCTCCGCGTGATGTTTTTGCCCCTCATTTCTGTAAAGAATATACCTTAGAAACTGCTCAGCAGGGGCGCCTGGGTGGCTCAGTCATAAAGCGTCTGCCTTCGGCTCAGGTCATGATCCCGGGGCCCTGGCATCGAGCCCCGCATCGGGCTCCCTGCTCAGGGGGAAGCCTGCTTCTCCCTCTCCCGCTCCCCCTGCTTGTGTTCCCTCTCTCTGTGTCAAATAAATAAATAAAATCTTAAAAAAAAAACAAAACTGCTCAGCAGCAGTGGGTATAATTTAATGGAGTGATGGAGTGCCACGTGTCAGGGTTGTTTCACCTAAAAACAGTTTTTTATTAGTCTTTTTTTTTTTTTTAAAGATTTTTATTTATGTATTTGAGAGAGAGAGGGGGAGAGAGGAGGAGGAGAGGCAGAGGGAGAAGCAGGCTCCCCACTGAGCAGGGAGCCCGATATGGGGCTCGATCCCAGGACCCCCAGGATCATGACCTGAGCTGAAGGCAAACGCTTAAACAACTGAGCCACCCAGGCGCCCCAGTTTTTTGCTGATCTTAAAACTTAAAAAAAAAAACAAAACGAGGGGCGCCTGGGTGGCTCAGTCGTTAAGCGTCTGCCTTCGGCTCAGGTCATGATCCCAGGGTCCTGGGATTGAGCCCCATATCGGGCTCCCTGCTCTGCGGGAAGCCTGCTGCTCCCTCTCCACTCCCCCTGCTTGTGTTCCCTTTCTCGCTGTGTCTCTCTCTGGCAAATAAATAAATAAAATCTTTAAAAAAAAAAAACCAAAACCGAAACTTAACTCCTCAAAAAACCTCAAACATAACTGAAAAAAATAAAAAAAAAACCTGTAGGTGTTCCGTGTGCCTTCATGTTAGATGAGAAGCAGGCTCCATACGATCGAGGCTTCTTGTTCTGACTTGTGACTGTTTCTTCACTCATAAATCAGTGTTGGTCCATAAAAACGGGAGTTTCTTGTCGGTGGGGAAACTCATGTTTCTGATTTTGTGGGGTTTTTTTTTTTTTTTTTTCTTCTTCTTCTTTCTGAAAGAAGGAGGGTTACGTGCTTTAGTCCGTGCACAACCAGTGGTCTCACCAAGGATCTGGATTTCTGTTTCAGGAGCATCTGGCTGCAGACGACGAGGAGGAAAGGGGAAGGGAGGATTCTGACCCATCATGCAGCGGAGTATCATGTAAGGACCCGGCCCCCTGTCCTACATGCTCTGAGTTCTCTGCTTCTCTCTTGATTTCTGTGCCTTTTCTTGGAAGAACACAAGGTAGTCTCCTAATTGGAATTTCCAGGAGCCGAGCAGTGCAGAAAATTGGGCATGGGATCTGGAAGACGGGTAGTGTGGTAACTAGAATTTTTTAGCTGGAGGTTCAGAAATGCTGACCCAGTGGTTTGCAGTTGGTGGTTTGGCCCCCCCAGGGGACAGCTGGCCATGTCTGAAGATGTTTTTGGAAGTCACAATTAGGGGGAGAAGGGGGCTTGTGATTAGCATCTACTGGATAGGGGCCAGGCATGGTTGCTGCTTAATACCTGCAATGCTCAATGCACGGGACAGCCCCCCACAACGAAGAATGATCTGGCCTGAAATATCAGTAGTGTCCAGGGTGGGAAACCCTGTCCTCCTGCAAGCTGGCTTCAGCAAAACGAGACAGGGAATTACATTGCTTGTGTAGTTGAAGCCTTCCAGAATTAATGGCCTTGGGCTTGGTTGGACCCAGTTGCCAAAACCCTTTCATTGGGAATTTGAGGGAGTGTCCTGAGAGGAAAATGGAGGGGCTGCTCCCGGAAGGAGGGGATGGATTCTAGACTGACCCAGACCTGGCCCCCTGCCCCCCCACCAGAGACCTGGGAGGTCAATCACAGGCTGTATTTTTCTCACATGATGACGAGTCTGGGCATAGTCTGTCTTTGGCTAATAGCACCTCTGAAGTCTTTCTGTCCCTGGCTTGGCTTGGCTTAGCTGGGTTGGTTGATTGACTGACTGATCGCACATTAAACGTTAATTTGAGGACGGTTTTAAATGAGCAGAAAAGTTGTACCGATAGTAGAGCCTGTTCCTGGATACCTGGCACCCAGCTTTCGCTGTTGATGTCGTGGGGCCCGTTGGTCACAGTAAGGGACCAGCATTGGTACATTCCTGTTAACTACACTCCGATCTCCGTGGTTTATCTACAAATGCTCTTCTCTGTTCCCAGGATTCAGCTCGGAGTACCCTGTTGCATTTAGTTGTCATGCCCCCTCGGTTCCCTCTGGTGTCAGTCCAGGTGACAGTTTCTCAGACTTTGTCAGGGTACCTGCAGACAGTCCCCCAATGTGTCTGATGTTCTCATAACTAGACTGGGGTCACGGGCAGCAAAGCGAGGTAGCCTCTTGTCCCCTCGTAATTGGGGTGCAGACATCCCCAGGACATCACCAGCGATGCTGACCTTCCTGACTCGGTCAGGAGAGTGTGGGCGAGGCCTCTCCGCCTCACTTTTCTGTGGTCCTTCCTCGGTACTCACTTCTCTGGAAGCCAGCTACTCAGTCCAGCCAGTCTCAAGTGGAGGGAGGATACCTTGCTTTATTGATCTTTTCCAGAGCACTTCACACTTCCTGACATTTTTTTTTTTAAGATTTTATTTATTTACTTATTTGCGAGAGCGAGAATGAGAGATAGAGAGCACGAGAGGGAAGAGGGTCAGAGGGAGAAGCAGACTCCCTGCCGAGCAGGGAGCCCGAAGTGGGACTCGATCCCGGGACTCCAGGATCATGGCCCGAGCCGAAGGCAGTCGACTGCTCAACCAACTGAGCCACCCAGGCGCCCCCTTCCTGACATTTTTTTTATTTAGTTACTTAACAGTTGCCTCTTCTACTGAGTGTCAACCCGTTGAGGGTGGGGACTTGGTGTCTTTGTCTCCACGGAATTCCTAGGGCCTGGGAGAGGCCCTGGCACATAGGAAGTGCTTGGTTGATTCTTGTGCCATTATCATTCCCATTTTCCCCCTCCTTCTGTGCTCCTCCAGGTCATTTTTCTACCCCAAGAAGGAGGGCAAAGTGAAAAAGCCAGAGAAGGAGACCTCCAACAGCGTCAGAGAGACAGAGCCACTTCCAAAGTAAGTAATGGGGCGAGAACATGGTACATTTGTTCCTTTATAAGTCAGGACTCTCTTGACTGTAAGTGTGGCAAGCCCAGCTCAGAATGTCTGGGAGTCCTAAAGGGAATTTTTTGACTTTGGTAACTGGGAAGTCCAAAGGTATAGGTCCAGCCTCAGGCACAGCCGGATCCCGGGCCTCGGCACTGGCAAAGGGAGTTGGCAAGTCCAGGTTCCAGGAGTAAGACATCTGTGGGCAAGCAGTCAGGAGCAAGTTGCGTGCATCAGTCATGCCCCTTCCATCCCCTGGGTCAGGACCTCTCACATGGCTGTACGCAGCTGCAGGGCAAGCCGGCAAGGGATAGTCTCTAGCCGAGGGCCATGGACCTAGCTAAATCTCAGGGGCTGGTATGACTGAAAAAGAGAGGGTCTCCAAATGGATGTTGGAGGCCATTCCCTGCTCTCAGTAGGGGCTCCATCTGCTCCTTAGCATTGCTCCCGTCACAGAGTAGGTGGGCACATGGGAGGCCACCAGAAACGTGGATGCAGTGGATGGTCGGATGATTAAGAGTGTATTGCAAGGAGGAGCCTAGAAAAAGCTCATGGAATGCTTGAACGAAAAGGAAGGGAATGAAACACCCTCATTTCCCCACCTTCCAGGGTGGCACTGAAGGAGCGCAATGGAGAGGTGCCTGAGAGCGATTCTCCAGTGAAGAGGCCAGGGCGGAAGGTGGCCCGGGTCCTGGGCAGTGAAGGGGAAGAGGAGGACGAAGCCCTCACGCCCTCCAAAGGCCAGGTAGGTCCCCACCAGCCTGCCCCCCGTTCCTGGAAGAAGCCATCATTCCCAGTAGGCTTTGGCACTGAGTGTAGCACAGCCGCTCAGGGGCGCTCATGCCTCAGGAGGTGGAAGATTTGAGCGGTCGTGCCCTGGAGCGGATGGACGGGTTCTGACTCCACCTGCGCCCGGTGGCCCGGGGCAGGCTCCTGGCCTCGTGCTTTGGCCACCTCACCTGGGATGTACAGCTCCCGGGAGCACCTACCACTCGGGGTGACTGTGAACAGGAAAGGAGTCAGTTCACCTATGGATCTGAGAATAATGCGTGATCCAGAATGAGGGCTCAAAACCACATTGGATCTCTCCTGTTGGCAGAGGGCTTTTTGCCTTTTCCAGAGACGTTGGCTTCCTTTCTTTCCTTGCTCAAAGTCACCCAATGGGCAGCTGATTGGTGACCTTAATTCCCTCCACAGCCCTAATTGCCCTTTGCCACATAACCGAATATATTCACAGGTTCCAGGGACTAGGAGGGGCCGTCCTTAGGAGCTTGGACTTTGCCCTGTGGCTGCTAGGGATCCGTGGAGCGGTTTTGAGCAGGAGAGGGACAGGGGTGGCTTTGGGTCCTGAGCAGCCTTCACAATGTCCCTCTGGGGCCTGTATCCATCAGGGTCTGAATAGGAGAGAGAAACCACGTGAGCAGAGAGAGTTTAATACAAAGAATTATCAAGTATGTATGTAGTTCTCAACCAGGTCACTGCAGGGGCGAAAAGAGAACTCGAAGACGTGGAGGAAGCATCTCTAGGGGTTATAGCTACCGCCCCGGAGCTGTGGAGCTGACAGTCAGGCCTTCAGGTGCTGGCTGGTGGGCGCCGGGGTCTCTGAGCTGACAGGTGGTGCCCTGAGGGCCTGGTCAGATCTTGGAGGCAGGGGCCCTGGGCAGAGAGTGCTCGCATCCAGGGGCATCACGTCGTAGGCCCTGTGAGTGTTGGAAATGCTGTAAGTCGGATCCGGCTGACACAGGCCCCTCTAGTACCCTGTGAGGGCGCTGCCTGCCACAGAGCTTCCTGCCAGACTGGGAAAGGGGTTTTCAGAGTCCGAGCATCATGAGGGAGAGTGGACGGGGTAGGCTTGGAGCTGAGGGGCTGTCACTTAATAACTGGCAGAGGGCCCTGTACGATGAGTTAGGGATTGAAAGCAAGATAACAAATAACGGGCTTAAACAAGGTAGGAATTTATTTCTCTCTCTAATGGGCATAAGAAGTCCAGGATTAATACAGCATTCTGTCAGTGTCAGAGACACAGGCTGCTTCTGTACCATTACTTTTATCCTAGATGCCCTAGTCCAAGCGAATGTCCATTTTCAAGCCAGGGAGAAGAGCAAGACATTCCACGGGAAGTGTACATCATTTTCCCTTATATTGCATTGTGTAGGAGTGAGGCTCCTGGCCACGCCTAGCTGCAAGGGAGGCTGGGAAGTGTAGTTCTCAGGCTCTCGGCTGCACCTAGCTGCAGGGGCGGTGGTGAAATGTGGTTTTTAGTTGGGCCTATGCCTAGCTAAAAATCAAAGGTTCTGTTACATTAGAAAAAAGAGTTGTTGTTATTGTCGTCCACGATGAGGGGGTCTGGTGCCACGAAACTCCACAGGAGGTTAAGGAGGGTAAGGCCCAGGTTAAGAGAGGAGGGGCCCTGAGCTGGGACGGAGAACTCTCTACCCCCAGCTGTTTGGAAAAGGACAAGGAGGTGGCCCCTTCTTCCTCCCCTCACTCTAGAATTGCTCTTTCTTGCTTTCCAGAAGCCTGCCCCCAGCTCTCCACAAGTCTCCCCTCCCAGCCCTGTCACATTTCCCGAGAGCAGCCCCTCCCCCTCCAGCACCTCTCCTGTGGACATCTCCCCAGCAGGGATCCCAAAGCGGCGCACAGGTGAGGACATACAGGCCCCTGCCCCTTCCCTTGCCTGTCTTTGTCCACTGGAGGATCTCTGCACCTGGCAGCCATCCTCACAGCAGCTCTAATCTTAGCGTTGTGGTTGAGAGCATGGCTTCACCATCCACTGGCTGTGTGACCTTGGGTAAATGACATACTTTCTCTGAGCTTTATCTGTAAAACAGAGGCGATAATAATGACAGCATTTATCATACAGAGATTAAGAGGAAATATGCGGGAAATGCTTGGACCTGGGCCCAGCTCATAGTAAGCGCTCAGGAAGCTTTGGTTATTGTAACCGTGGGTATGTGCTGTCCGGGAGGCAGCGCACCTCACTGTGGGAGCCCAGGAAAGCAGGAGACTTGTAGAAGAGAGAGTCACCCAGCCAAGCCTTGAAGGAGAAGGAAGAGTGAGCAGGGAAGAGGGTTAGTAGCAGAAGGAAGTAGTCATCGAGAAGGCCCCTCAGGGCACTGATGGCTTGGTGTGTTGGTGTCGGTGCTTAGTGCACGGGGTTGGGGGCCCCAAGCGGGGACACTGGAGAAGGTCCGTGGAAAGCCAGCCTGAGGAGTGGCACCTCTGTCCCCTGGGGGATCGGGAACGTTTTGTACGGGTGGGGAGGCACCGGTGAGGGACCCTCACATGGTGCTGGGGGACAGATGTGGCAGGTGCGACCAAGGGACTGAAATTTCAGTGCTGCATCATTTTTGTGAAATCTAAATGTGCAAGCTGATGCCAGATGGAGTTACCGAAGACTCTCAGGCATGTTTAGAATAACTTGGGTGCACAAATCTTCCTCAACTGTAAACACAGATCAGCTATTTCTGAGGAACACTTAGCAACCAGTTGAGATGTGCTGAAGTACATCGGACTTCGAAGACTCAGCACAGAAAAGAAAATGTTAATTATTTTAACATTGAAAACACAACACATTGGAGTCGTAGTATTTTTGGATACGTTGGGTTACATAAACCGTATTATTAAAATGAGGTGTATCTGGATTTTTTTTCCGTTTCTCAATGTAGCTACTGGCAAGTTTAAGATCAGGTATGTGTCTCACCGTATTTTTCCATCGGGTGGTGCTGGTATAAAAAATAGCACGCCTGGGGACACCTGGCTGGCTCAGTTGGTATAACGTGTGGCTCTTGATCTCGGGGTCGTGAGTTTGAGCTCCACTTTGGGTATAGAGTTTACTTAAAATCTTAAAAAAAAAAAAAAAGCACAGCCGAAACTAATAGACTGTATGTTAACTACAGTTGCATAAAAAACTTAAAAAAATTTTTTTGATTAAAAAAATAGAAGAAGAAAAGGAGTGGCGGTGGTAACAGGGCTCAGAACTGAGGCAGCGCAGAGGGGGTGACACCCGAGCTGAGTCTTGGAAGATGGGGGAGGGCGGCGGCAAGCGGTGCAGCCACGAGCAGCGTGCAGAGGAGCCACGTGGCACACGGGGGGTTGCATGCACTGGCATGTTTCTGGAGGATCAGATGCAATTTGGGGAGCAGGGCAAGTTTGAGGACTGTGTGCAGTGAGACAGGAGGGTGGGGCTGGCTCCCACAGGGCCCCGCATGCTGGGCCAGGAGCCCGGGTTTTTTCCTGGGGGGTGCTGGGGCGCCACGGGAGGGCTGCGGGTCGGGGGTGGTGGGGAGGTAGTCATGAAATAGCTGAGTGGCCCGGGGCCTGCTGGAAGCTCAGGGCTGACCCTGAGATTGGCCCTGGGGGGCAGGGGGTGTCAGGGAATTCTTTTTAGAGGAAAGGACCCCTGAACTTTGTCCCTGAGCGGCAAGTGCCCGGGCCCGGAGGTGTGTCTGGGAGGAGCAGGAGTTCCGGGGTGCTGGAGAATGAAGGATGACGTGGCGTGGAAAGAGTTAGAGGGTCTGCTGGAGAGAGATGAGGCACACAGCAGCGGATGCCAGAGGACTTGCTTCTGGAATGGGGCGGAGGAGGCGGGTGCCGGAGTCGGCGTGGCACTGGGCCGAGCGCGTCGTAGCGTTTCTTACTCTCGGGGGTCGTTTCTGTTGTGCATGTGTGGGAGACAGAGGCACAGAGAGATTAAGTAACCTGCCCAGGGTTCACACAGCCAGGAAGCAGCAGAGCTTGAAGAATGAGGCGCACCTGGGGCAGAAGGGGAGCGTCCCACAGCCTTCTCAGGGGGCCCCCATCACTGACCGGCCTGAGCTCATGGGGGCGGGGGGCGGACAGACCCACAAGGTCCACCACGCCAAGCCCTTTGTCTTCCCAGCTCGGAAGCAGCTTCCTAAGCGGACAGTACAGGATGCCCTGCAGGAGCAGGGCAAGGACGAGAGCAGAGAGGCCAAGAGGAGGAAGGAGGGAGAAGGTGAGGCACCAGGGGAAGGGAGGGCGAGAGAGAGTTGGAGGGCGCACCGTGGGGGGTCTGGAAGGGTGGGGGCCTCTCCCAGGGGCTGGACTGTTAGGATCCCCGATCTAATGCCCGTGTCCCTGAATCCGGGTGTGGCCGCCAGAACCCCACAATCAGCACGGGCATTTGGGTTACGAGAACATTTTGAAATGCATTCATTTGGGCCCCTTTAATTTAGGATTCATTCATATGCCGTTTCCCATTTTTATCCTCTGTTTTTCCGTGTGTGTTGATGGAAAATGTTTTCTTCTCCCTGACTTCTTGTTCCTTAGAAATGTGACCAGAAGGCAGAGATCCCCAGCCTCTCAACAGCACCCTTAGTGTCGTAGTAAATTGTTGATGGCACCCCCCGGGCCGCCACCTCAACAGTTCCGTTTATTAAGTAGTTATGTCCAGACAGCTGTTGATATTCTAGAAACTTGGGTGTTTGAGAAAACGGCGCACGTCCGTGGCAAGGAAAAGTACTGTTTTTTGTTTCATCCTTCAAAGAGTCACAGTTAGTTACTAACTAGGATGTGTCCTGCCCTCTGCACAATTGCCCAAACCTTTGGAATCCCTCGTTCCCCGTTCCACGTTGTTTTTTGTGCAGTGCGGAGTTTTGGTCACAGCAACCAAGGGAAGCCCAGCTTTGCAGACCGGTAACATCAGGAATTGCGAGGCCCGCAGGCTAAGGATGCTGAAATCTGAAATACCTCGAGCTAGTAGTTCCTGCTGTGACCAGCAGATGCCCCCAGTTTCCCCTGGAACCGGGAACTATGCGCGGTGTGCCCGAGAGTTCGGCCCACGGGGGAAGTTCTGGTGCAAAGATCTGATCCATTTGGTCATTTGGGACCTGTGTGCAGCCTTTGCCACTGTCAGTGTTTAACGAAAGGTCCTCATTTGGCTCAACTTCCCTGGGGCAGATGTGACTTCCTGTTGGCAATTTTTAGTCAGTATCCAACCTTACTGTAAAATTATGCGTTTTTAGCCAGTGTTGGTGTCTGGGGCCGTGCGTGGGAGACCAGGTAGCTGCTTGATTTTTCTCAAGTTCACTCACACAGTTTTTATTGTTACCCTAGAAGTATGACTTTTTTTTTTCCCCCCAGTTTAAAACATTTTTCATTTTTACCCGTAATCAAGTTATCATGTGCGTTTGGAACTTTTTCCAGCTGTATCGTGCGGTGAATAATTCTAGATGTTGATAAGAAGATACTGGCTGTCTGTGTCCATTTCTGGCTGCCCAGCGTGCGAACATGGGGTTTGGATTCTGTTGGAGGCCCCGCCATGCTTGGGGCTGACCAGGAGCGGGCTCCCACCTCCTGTTGCTTTATAGACATGCTTGATCTGCACAGGAGCAAATGGGGGCAGGACGCCTCGGGAGTTGAAATGTCCCTGGGGGTCAGAATAATTCTTTCTTTTTTTTTTTGCCATCTGACTTTTCTGTCATCCAAAGCTGAGACCCCACTGGAAAGCCTCGCGGAGCCTGAAGTGACCCAAAAGAAAGAAGCAGAAGGGGAGGGCCAGCCCGTGGCGCCCCCTGAGCACCCAGAGACCTCCTGTGAGTTTCCACTCCCCTGGGGGCCCTGGCTGTCTGGTTTTGGGTTGGATGTCTTCTGAGGCCAGTTAATTTAATTTCATTTCTTTAAAGATTTTTATTTGAGAAAGACAAAGAGTGAGAGAGAGAGAGATGAGGTGCAGAGGGAGAAGCAGACTCCCCGCTGAGCAAGGAGCCTGATGCAGGACTCCATCCCAGGACCCTGGGCTCATGATCTGAGCTGAAGGCAGATGCTTAACCGACTGAGCCACCCAGGCGCCTCTCTGAGGCCAGTTAATTTTAAATAAGACTCAAATGTGTTGTTGAAATGCAAATTCTAGGGGAATCAGAGGTTTTATTGTCATCGTTTTTATGGTTAAAATCCCCCTCCCGCCACACATGGGAAAGAAGAAAGAGCCGGTCATCCTCCAACAATATATTTGTATCTTTGAGAAATCACAGGTACTAAATGTTCCTGTTGGGTAGTTTATTAAGCTAGACCACCCAGCTGAGCTGCGGGGTTTTTGAGGTTATAGTTACCCTCACAGGCCCAAGAACAAGCCCCACAGCCGGGTGTCCGTGAGACTCCCGTGTGAGAAACAGCATTGTGGGGACATTTCGAGGATGCAGACCTTACCCGCTTTTCTGCAACTGCCGGGGAAGTGGGAACATTTTATTCTGATCGTGCTGAGATTTCTTTTTACCGCCGTCTGTAAAGTCTCCGGTCTCAGGCCAGACAGACGCCCGAGGGAATTCTGTTAGTACTGACCGGAAAGCATCAGGCCCGAGAGGCTCAAAAAACTTAACGCACGGAAAGGAAAGGGGCAGAACTGAGGATGTTTTCCGTATGTGGAGTCAGAACCAGTGACGAGTGAAGTCTCGGGTTGGAAATTGCCATCCCCAACCAGTGTCTCTCGCTTTAGCAGCAGAGCCCCTGCCAGACAGCACCTTGGAGCCCGAGGTGGCGGGGAAGCAGGAGGCTCGAGAGGAAGACCCGGCCGAGCCGCCCGCCAGAGCGCCCAAGACGGTCAGCAGCTTCTTCGGTGAGTGTCTCCTGCCCCTCAGCTCCCAGCCTCTTGGGGAGGAGGCGGGCCTTTCCCCAGCGTGCGTCCCTCCCCCCCCCCGACCTTGGTGGAAGGTCTGGCCCCTGTTCTCCTGGCTTCGTGGGCCGGTGGGGACTCTCAGGAGGAGGGCCCACAGTTTCCTGACTTCATTCCCAGCCCCCCGGAAACCGGCAACCAAGAAAGAAGGGAGAGAAGAGGGACCTGGCACAGCAAGACAGGAAGAGGCCAAGGGGTGAGTCCGTGTCGGCTGTCGAGTGGAGAGGACAGGGCGCTAAGGGGAGGCCTGCAGTGCGTCCAGGTTCTCCTGATTTGATTGCTCTAACGGTGAGACCGGTGCCTGCCCACAATTCTTTCCGCTACAATCGGTGATTGCAGCTAATTATTCTAATGACAGTGTTTTGGGGATTCTTAATGTCGTTTTTGTGAGACCCCATTTTCCATTCCTCAAACATGTTATGTGCGTCTCTACCTCAGGGCCTTTGCACTTGCTGTTCCCTCTGCCTGGAGTGCTCTTCTCCTGGATACCCACTCTGCTCACTCCTCGTGTCATTCTGCCCAAATGTCTCCTTCCCCAGCCTTTCCTCAGAAGTGCACCTTCCATCCCGCCTTCCCACAGCATTGTTTGATTTTGGTTTTGGAAATATTTTTTAATACCAAAATTATTAGTTGCTATGTTTTTGTTTTTTTTGTTTTTTTCTTCCCCTGACTCTCTGGCTAGAATGTGAGCTCTGGGTTCAGCAACTTTGTTTTCATTCCCTTCTGTGCCCTCATGCCTAGAGCAGCGTCTGGCACATAGTAGGTGCTCAGAAAATATTAGCTGGAGGACTGGCCAGGTGTCTATCTCCCTGTTGTCTCCACAGACCCCCGGACCCCCCCAGCTACAATCCCGCCAAGAACAACTACCATCCCATCGACGACGCGTGCTGGAAGCCAGGCCAGAAGTGAGGCTCCCCCCGCCCCCGACTGTCCCTCCGCCTCTCCGTGTCACCGGGCACATCTCCCCAGAGGCCCCCGGTGGGGGAAGCCGTCAGACCTCTCGCGTCCCCATTCTGGGGACACAGGCAGCAGCACCGAAGGTGTGGGGAGGCACGTGGACAGACAGACGGATGGTGTGGGTTATACGCACCACCCTGTGTCTCTCTTCTTTGCCCAGGGTCCCTTACCTGGCTGTGGCCCGGACATTTGAGAAGATTGAGGAGGTTTCTGCTCGGTAATTCATCAGGCCCGCCTGGACGGGCAGGGGCACGTGGGGTGGCGGCTCCGGCTGCCCGGTGCCTTCCGCCTCCGCTTTTTCCACTTCACCCCCCTGCATGCGTCCCCGGCCCCTGGAGTAGCTGCAGGGCCGCGTGGGCCCCCGACCCAGAAGGCCCACACCACGCTTCTGTCTCTTTCTGTGGGTCACAATGAACCGTGAGCATAAGCCCAGATTCCCCGGGTGGGGAAACTGCCTCCTCCCGGTGGCAGGAACTTAATCTACCCTCGGCGGTGAGAAGTAACCACGGCCTCCCTGATTGTCTTGCCCTTTGTGTGAGGAGGTCCAGGTCTGGATTCTAGTGGGACCCTCACTCCCAGCAAGCGCTGGTTGGGCCGCCGGCACACAGGGCTGCCCAGCCCCGGCCCTCACTCCCGCGTGCTTAGTCAGTGTCGTCAGGGGGCCCACCCCATTCCGCTTCCTACCTGCACGTCAGCCTTGTTTCCAGAAGATCCTTGCGTGCACGGGAAACCTGACCCGTGCCTCTCCCAGCTGATGGTGGCCTTGGGCATCCGTGGCCTATGGCCGCATCACTCCAATCCCTGCCTCCGATTTCGATTCCATGTGCTCTTTTCTCTGTGTGTCTTTTTCTGTATTTTATACAGACACTTTTACTGGATTGAGGGCCCACCCCATCTGCGATGACCTCATCTTGACCCTGACCTGAGTTATACCTGCTAAGACCCTCTTTCTAATTAAGGTCCCATTCTGAGGCTCCAGGCAGGCCTCAAGTTTTGGGGGCATGCTGTTGGTCTGCCTGGAAGTCTGTGGCGTCTGCCCCGCGGTACTTTGTGTTTCTCTCTCTCTCTCTCTCTCTCCTGCCTCCTCCGTGTGTTCATTGGGCTGCTTCTGTAAGAGAGACTTAGCTTCTCTTTCCAGGGAGGCCTTCTCAACAGCAACCGCAGACCTTTGCACAGATCCTGCAAGCCATACAGAAACGGGCTTTTACTTTTCGAGCCAGCATGGTGTAGTGGTGGGGAGCAGGGGTCCTCGGGCAGACGGCCTCCGCTCACGTCTCAGCCTGGTTCTCACTGGTTCTGTGACGTTGGCCAAGTTACATGATCTCTCTGGGCCTCTGTTGCCTCCTCTCTAAAGTGGGGGTGATATCAGTATCTCCCTCATGGTGGGGCCTTGAGCAGTCGGTGAGCGGAAACATGGAGGGTTTAGACGCACCCTCTGGCCCCCGGTCCGGCACCTAGAAAATGCTCCACCCAACAGCCACTGTTCCTCTGTGGATGGCCATCCCCATCTTCGTCGTAAGCATGGAGCAGGCTCACCCTCCCACCAGCATCTGTGGCTGTGCCTGTGGCTCAGGCCACCACCTGGGCCTGGACTCGAGCTCCTCTACTTCTCCTTTCCTGGGGTCCTTTCCACCCGTCCCCCCAACTTTGACCCCGAAATGCCAGGAGGTCACACCCCTGCCCCCTCCCCCAGGCTCCGGATGGTGGAGACGCTGAGCAACTTGTTGCGTTCCGTGGTGGCCCTGTCACCTCCAGACCTCCTCCCCATCCTCTACCTCAGCCTCAACCGCCTCGGGCCACCCCAACAGGGCCTGGAGCTTGGCGTCGGTGACGGCGTCCTCCTCAAGGCGGTGGCCCAGGCCACAGGTAAGCAGGGGGTGTGGTGGCAGTTCCAGGGTTGGGGGGCTCCGAGGGAGAAGATGCAGAGGTGGGGAGGATGTGAGAGACAGCAGAGGGGGCTCTGAAGGTGGGGAGAGGGGCCAACGGGACAGATCGGTGCGCTGGGGGGAGCGTGGGGCGCTGGTTCAGGTGAGGGAGCCCCAGCAGCTTGGGGCAGGGCCGTGGGGGTGGAAAGGGGGGCTGGGAAGATGGGCATGCAGAGGGAGCAGGGCGAGGGGTCCGGGACTGAGGCCCGGGGCCCGGGGAGGTGACAGAGCCTGGAGGGCCGAGGGGAGATGCGGGGAGACCGTGAGCGGGGCCTCCGGTGCTCGGTGTTCCTGGTAGGAGTGGGGGGGGGGGGCTGGGCCGGGTGTGGGCAGAGAGGACCCGAGATAGACACACAGCCCCCCGTGTTCCCCTCACCACTGGTTCCCTCCACCCCAAGGGCGGCAGCTGGAGTCTGTCAAGGCCGAGGCAGCTGAGAAGGGCGACGTGGGGTTGGTGGCCGAGAACAGCCGCAGCACCCAGAGACTCATGCTGCCGCCACCTGCTCTCACTGCCGCCGGGGTCTTCACCAAGTTCCGAGACATCGCCCGGCTGGCCGGCAGTGCTGTGAGTGGGGTCGGGGGGGGGGGCAGCCCCGTGCCCGGACCCTCTGCCCTTCCCCTCGGGGACCTGGAGCCACCCGTGTGGCAAGGGGGGCTTCTGGTCACACTCTCTGGGGCTGGGTCACTTCGGGCCTGCTTGTGGGTCAGGGGGTCTCCTCTTGAGATTCTAGCACCTGCTTTGCTGCTGCCGCATGACAGGACAAGGGACAGAAAATACCTGCTGAATAGAGTGAGGGAGGGAGGCGGGCTGGAGCCACTTTCTTACTGCATCACCGCACAGCAGGAAGTGGGAGTGGGGTGACGGCAGGGGCACGTATCCAGGGGGCCAGCCGGGAGGAGGTGTGGTCCCCTCCCTTCGCCCCAGGCACTGACTGCTTGACCCGCTTCAGTCCACAGCCAGGAAGATGGACATCATCAAAGGCCTCTTTGTTGCCTGCCGCCACTCAGAAGCCCGATACATCGCCAGGTAGACCTGGGCCTGGGAGGCTGGGAGCGGCGGCGAGAGGGCGGGAGGGACCGGCTGTGGGGGTCCTGCTGGTGCCCTGACCGCCCGCACACCGGGCCCTGAGGGGCTGGACTGGGAACACGGGGTCCCTTTCCCCGGGCAGCTCCTCTGCTCACGGCCTGGGGCTTGTGGCTAAGAGGTGCCGGGTGGGATTGGTTAGCGACGTGTGCCTTGGCCTCAGCGGGAGCAGTACAGGCGGGGGGGGCGCGGGGGGCAGGCAGTTGCCGTGAGCGTGGAAATGACGTCACCGGCAACCCCCATCACGGAGCGTTTCTTGGGTGCCCGGTGCTGGGTGTGGTATCCTGTCGGTCTGTCCCCCGGTGCCGCCGGGCAGGCCCCTTACCCTCAGCCGGCTCTGTGGAAGGGGGGACGGAGGCCCCTGGCTCAGAGCCAGGCCGGTGCGGGGGGCAGGCTGTTGAGCAGCACGTTCCGTGGCACCTCCGGGGAGGCCGTGTCCCGTTTCCAGGCCCTCTGTGGCCCGGCTCGCCCTCCCCGAGCCTCACCGCTTCCCCAGAGGGCAGCTGAGAAGAGGTGAAGACGCTGTGAGGCCCCCAGCTGTGCCCTGGGGAAGGCCAGCGGCCGCGGCTCCTAGAAACTGGCCTCCGTCTCCCTGTCTGTTCAGTGGGGCCGTGCGATGCCTCGGGTCCCTTCCGGCCCTGAAGGTGGTTCCGGTGTTGAGGAGAGGGTTCCAGAGGCTCGAGGCAGGGGAAGCAGGGGGCAGGGGGGGCAGAGGGCAAGACGGGGAGGGTGGGTGGCGACCAGCCCGCTCCCCCTGCCCGCTGTCTTCCCAGAGCCCTGAGCGGACGGCTGCGCCTCGGGCTGGCAGAGCAGTCGGTGCTGGCCGCCCTCGCCCAGGCCGTGAGCCTCACGCCCCCAGGCCAAGGTGAGGCCCTGCTGCCGGTCTCTGCGCCCAGCTCTGCGGTTAACCGGGCCGCTCTCCTCTCCCCGAGGTCCTCGCGCCCCCGCTCCCCTCCAGGTTCCTTCCCTGGCAGGCTCGTCCCCCTTCCTTGTTGCCCACATGCCACCCGCTGTGCCCCCGGGTAGCCGAGGGGTCGGGCCCGCCCCAAAGCCTCCGCCGGTGCGTCTGGTCTTAGAATTGCCCCCGGCCGTCGTGGATGCTGGGAAGGGCAGGACAGCGGAGGCCCGAAAGACGTGGCTGGAGGAGCAAGGCATGATCCTGAAGCAGACGTTCTGGTGAGATCCGGGGCCCTCGGGCAGAGTGGGAGGGCTGGAGGGGCAGTGGGCTCAGCACCGAGGGCCGCGTGCGACGTGGGCGGGGCGGGCGGCTAGCAAGCACTAGTGACCATCGTGGGGCTGCTGACAGAGCAGGGGTGGTGACCCAGACAAGAAAGGTGCCGGGCATGAGGCGGGGGACAGCGACTAGGACCAGGGACGCGGAGAGAGGGAGCAGGGAGGAGCTGCTGGCCACAGGGGCGAGCAGCGCGACATCTGGGAGTTCCCAGCAGGACCGCACATGCACAGAGGCCCGAAGGGAACCAGAGCAGGGCTGGTGACTGATGCAGAGTGAGGGGTTAGGACATCCATGGGGTGACAGGGAGGGCCACAGCGAGACGGCAAGTGCCCAGAGAGGGTATCAGCGGCAGGAGGGCCCAGGAGCATTTCTGCAAACGCCCTCGGGGCTGCTCGCTGGGTCACAGGGCAGAGACTGACCCTGCAGACCACCCCTGCCCTCCCAGGGCCAGGACAGTGGTCTCCCCTCTGACCACGGGGTGCTCCCTGGCCAGCTCCGTCAAACTCCTGGGAAATTTCTTAATCCATCCTTGAGTGGTTCTAATGTGTAGCTCAGGTAGAGGGTCACTGGTCTCCTGGTGACAGGTAGGGGTGACGGCAGGCCTAGAGTGACGTGCAGTGGTGCTGGGGCGGGGAGCGTGACAGAGACAGCCAGAGTCGGGGATGGGTGGGAGCAGACCCCTGGACAAGGTGACAGACTGGCAGAGGTGCATCTTGTAGCCAGAGCACAGGCGTTCCAGGCTGTCAGAGTTCTGGAAAGACACCTGCGAGTTTGTTCTTGCCCCCACCCCAGCGAGGTGCCCGACCTGGACCGGATCATCCCTGTGCTGCTGGAGCACGGCCTGGAGCGCCTCCCGGAGCACTGCAAGCTGAGCCCAGGTACCAGCCCCTTGGGAGTGACCGCAGCCCCACCCTGGGCAGAGCCGGCTCCAGGGCCATGGAGCGGGGGGTGGCCTTCCTGCAGGCTCCACTCTCTCCTCCTGGCCTTAGCTTCCTCCATCCCTCTAAGAACCTGCAGATTCCTCCTCTTGCCTCCAAAATCGAATCATGTTCCCCGTGTGGAAATCCATCCCTTTTCTGTTTGGAGTCCCCTTCTGGATTAGGTGGGGTGTGGGTGCATGCTGTGACAGAGATACCCCAAAAGCAGTGGTTTGGGCCAGACAGAATCTTCCTCTCACACATAAGAGTCCAGAGGAAGGCAGGTGATCAGGGAGGATACGTGGCTGGGCTCCAGGGACCCCTCTGGGAACTGAGGTTCCGCCCTCCTGTCACTTTATCATCCCGAGGTTTTCACCCTAACGTGCATGATCAGAGGTGGCTCAGGTTTCTAGATCACAGAAGAGGGAGAGAGAGAAGAGGGGTGAGCACGTGACCCACACCTCGTGCACACCGCCACCCACGCATCCTAATCACGTGGCCTTCCCTCGCTGCAAGGGAGGCTGGGAATGTCCTGAGCTGGGAGGCCAGCTGCCCGCCTGAGCCGGGAGGACGTGGTCGTCTCTTACTCAGAAGGGAGAATGGGTCCTGGGGCACGGCTGGCTGTCTCTGCCGCACTGCCCGATCTGACGTGTCGCTGGCGCCTCCCCCAGTTTACTCTAACTCTCTCCCTCCTCCCCTCCCAGGGGTTCCCCTGAAACCGATGCTGGCGCACCCCACCCGCGGTGTCAGCGAGGTCCTGAAACGCTTTGAGGAGGCAGCTTTCACCTGCGAGTACAAATACGACGGGCAGAGGGCACAGGTGTGGGGGCAGACGCATCCCTTCGGCAGAAGGGAAGGTGCCTGAGAGCGGGGCCCGGGGGTGGGGGGGGGGGGGTCAGACCCGAACTCAGAGTGCCTCCCGCCACAGACCGCCCGTGTGACCGTATGCATCTCGGGCTTCAGTTTCCACCGTCACGCAGCGGCCGTGGCTTACCTGAAAGTCACTTTTATTTGATAAAATCGGCAAAGTCCCTGGCCCACGGCAGTGGGAGTTGAAGAAAATGTGGGCTTCGCCCGTGCCCTGCTGTAACAGCCGCCGTGGGAGGCGCCTCCTTAATCTGCAGCACGGCTGTGCAAGCACGTGTCTGGCGCCCCTGTGCCAGGGACGTCCTCAGTTGGGTCTGTAAGGATGCTTCTCGTGGCTCTTCCGTCCTGGGGGGGGAGCTGGGGCTCCCCTGTTCATCGCGGGGACGGAGGAGGGAGTGCAGTGGGTGACGCGCGCGTCGGTGCTTTGAGGCCGTTACACGTGCGTGTAAGGCGGCATATTCGTGGTCCTGCTGACGGACTGTGACCAGACGGTATGAAAATTAACGACTAAACACCCAGGCAAATCCGCTTAGACACAGCAAGGCACTTGAGCATCCGGGGTGGTTGGAGGGGGCTGGATAGGGAGGGTGAGGAAGGACATGGCAGGGGCTTCCAGGAACGGCTGGGAGGCGCTGTGTGGATGGAGGAGATGGTTTACTCAGGCCTCCGCACTGGTTCCCCCTCCAGAGCTTCTGGAACCGTCTGCTGGTGAAGGTGGGGCTGGGGCCAGCTGGGGTGGGCTGGGCCCTGAGTCCCTCTCCCCTCCCCTACTGCCGCAGATCCACGTCCTGGAAGGCGGGGAGGTGAAGATCTTCAGCAGGAATCAGGAAGACAATACCGGAAAGTACCCGGACATCATCAGCCGCATCCCCAAGGTGGGCGTCTGCCGCCTACTTCCCCTCTTTCGGGGGCTCTAGATAATGGGTGCAGAGAACTGCGGCCTGTCCAGGCCAGCTGGGCGCAGGGGGACTGCCCGCAGGAGATCGGAGTGCCTTCGGCCTCAAGTAATGCAACACCCACCTCCCAGAGGCTTAAGCAGATGGTTTTTTTTTTTTTCATCAAGGAAATCGGGGTGGGTGGCCCTAGCCTGGCTCAGCTGTGCACCGAAGTCCCCCAGAAGCCGTTCATTTCTGTCTCTATCCTCTGCTGTCCTTGGCTGGTCGGCTTTTCATTCCAACGCTTGTCCCCCGATCGTCCCCAGATAGGTGCCACACTTCAGACAGAAAGATGGGCAAGCGGTTCCGGCCTCCCGCTCTCCACTCCCCTGAGGAGAGTTAATGCTTTCTGGATCCCTCCCCCAGCCCCACCGCCAGCCGCCTCTGGCTTGGGGTCACCGCCCAGCACTGGGCCCCGTGGTGCAGCACCAGCCGGGAAAGCCAGAATCTTGCTCTGACAGGGAGAGGCGGTTGGGACGTGGGTGGAGGGAGCCGGCCTGCAGATCAGCCCCGCAGCCGGAATAGGCCGGGGCTTCTCTGCTCCCAGACATCTTGGGCCTGTTTTGGGAGTCGTTGGTCAGATAGCTCTCCTTGCCTGCCCCTAGTTGACTAGGAAGTTGGCGCTTTCCCGGAGCCGCAAGGACAGACCTAACGGCAGATCACAGGCGGTCGTGGAGCTCTTGTTAGCCAAGCGCTGGTGTTTCCAGTCCTTTTTACTAGCGGATGGATGAGCGAGTGTGGTGGGTGTAATGTCTATGCAGGGTTCTGATCGTAGCGTACGTGGTTTGACGAGCTTGGGTGCGTTTATGCACACCCATGTAAACATAAGACATTTCCGTGTACGTATCACTCTAAATTGTTACTTGGGTCGCATGCCAAGCTGCACCCCCATCCAGCTCCCAGAAGCAACCAGCTTTCCGCAAGCGGTATCCTTCAGTTCGGGGTCTTTTGTATCTGGCTGCTTTTGCTCATTCGTTGGGCAGGTGTTTCCTGGGCATCTGCTCTGGGCTGAGCCCCGTGCAGGAGGCTGGGGACGCAGCTTAGACAGGCTACACCCAGCTCGGGCCTAGCAGGGCAGGCAGATCTTCGTCGGAGTGTCCCGCTGCTGGCTCTGTAGTTGTACATGGAGACCTGGGCTCTGAAGGACCACCATTCTGTGAGCCTCTGTAAGAGTCAGACTTGACCTAGGCCCGATGTCAGCAAGGCAGGCCGCCACCGTGCACGGCCCCAGGATGTAGCATGAAGGATGCCATCTGGTGTTGTGCAGCCATGTTCCTTTGAGGGAAAAGAAGTCCTCCCTGTGGAGGTGAAGAATAAGGACAGGCATTCTAGCGTGATCAGCATGTGCAAAGGCCCTGTGGTTGAAGGGGCCTAGCCAATCCACAAAACAAGAGAGGCAAGCGTGCTGGGGTGCAGAGTCTGAAAGGGCCTGGAGAGGTGAGGAAGGACCAGGGGCTGACCGGGGGAAAAGCCCCCACAGCTTTGGGGAGCTGGGGATGGTTTTTAGCAGAGATGCACTGACATCAGATTTGGGGTTTGCTCAGAGCGCTGTGACTGCTGTGAGGAGAGCCGGTTAGACACGGGGTCCGTGCAGGAGCAGGGAGACCAGTAGGATGATGTGGCCTCGGCTGGACTGGGCACAGTAAAAGTTGTGGGCGGCTTAGGGATTTCAGAGGGGAAGCGGACAAGTTCACGGGGAACTGACAGAGGCCACTGGGTTTCCAGCTTACGGGACCAAGTAGTAAGTCTCAGAAAAGTTTGTTTTTCTCCTCCTTGTGGGAAATGAGAAGAGGGTATATACCCATATGTGCGTCTTTACGTCGGCATCGATTCGTTGGTGGATTTTGAGAGCTGTGGAAGGAAAAGAACATTTGTTTGTCTGGGCCTGTGTTTTGTCTTCATCCTCTGCCTCTCAGCAGCCCTGGGTCTCCCTCTTCACCTTTCAGATTAAACTCCCGTCAGTCACATCCTTCATCCTGGACACGGAAGCCGTGGCTTGGGACCAGGAAAAGAAGCAGATCCAGCCATTCCAAGTGCTCACCACCCGCAAACGCAAGGTAGCCTCTGCCCTCCTCCGCTGCCTGCCACAGTCCCACACTTTCTCCTCTTCCTCCCAGCCCTGCCCCATCCCCAGAAGGATAGAGTGTCCGCTGGGATACAGTTCTTGCTGCCTTTTACAGTGTGGCTGCCACAGCTCCAGCCATTGCGTTTTCATCCCAGCATACCAAGTAGAAAGGGGGAAAGAGCCCTTTTCCTGTGTGTCTGTTTTGTCATGAAAGATCTGTTCCAGGACCACCCCCCCACCCCACCACCTGTGCCCCAGCAAACTTCTTTACCCTCATGGCCACAACTGTGTCCTGTCGGCACCATTAGCTACAAGGGAGGCTAGGAGAGCAAATACTTGACAAAGGGGAGTGAGGTTGTTGGGATTAGCTGAGAGCCATCACCATGCAGAGCCCGGAGCTAGGAGCATTGTCACCCTCATGGGTGTGTGGCCTATTGGCTGGAGAGAAGGGGAGAGTGGTAGGTGACAGGTGTCTGCCTGGGGCATGATGGGAGGCACACCAACCATGCCTCATATCACCATCCCCCACCCCTGCTCTCCCTTCTGCCCAACCCAGGAGGTGGATGCGGCAGAGATCCAGGTGCAGGTGTGTCTGTATGCCTTCGACCTCATCTACCTCAATGGAGAGGTGAGTTCCGGCTGCATGTCTGGGGGCAGATGGGGGCGGTGTGCGAGCTTGGGAGCCGGCGGTCTGAGTGGCCACGCTCGGGCAGCGGTTCTCAAAGTGTGGCCCGAGGACCCCTGCGGACGTCTCCAGGACCCTCTCGGGGGAGTCTGTGAGGCCCTGCCTGCCTTTCCCAGCTCCGCAGCCGTGCAGGCAGATTCTCCGGTATGGCAGCCGGGGCAACACACAGCAGCCGTCTGAATGCGGACGGCCGCACACGGGAGGGCCCAGCTCCGTGAAAAGCCAGACGTGGAAAAGTTTGCAAAAATGTAAACTGATGCCCCCACTTCTCACTGATTTTTTTCCTAACATAGGCACATTTCATGAAAATACGTTGTTGGGTTAACATATTAGAGTTGTTATTTTTAGATTTTTTTTTTTTTTGACAGAGAGAGAGAGTACAAGCAGGGGGGGCGGCAGGCAGAGGGAGAGGGAGAAGCAGGCTCCCCGCTCAGCAGGGAGCCCGATGTGGGGCTCCATCCTAGGACCCCGACATCATGACCCGAGCCGAAGGCAGACGCCCAACCGTCTGAGCCACCCAGGCGCCCCTTGGAGGTGTTATTTTTAAACGAATTAATACATGTCTAGATTTTTCACTTCTACTATAGCAAATATTAACATGTGATTTAGTAGCTAATAACATCGTCATTACTGTGGTAAATATCCAGAGATGTAACCCACATACACAGAAGCTGTCTGGAGTGAGTCCTCGGCAGGTTTCAAGACTGTGAGGGGGTCCCAAGACTGGAGAGTTTGAGAACTGCTGCTCCAGGGCATGGGTTAAGAATCTGGAGCCAGACCACCTGCTTTCACATCCCAGCTCTCCCCTCCTGGCTGTGTGGCTGCAGATAAGTGACTCAGCCTCTCTGAGTCGCCACTTCCTTATCACTACTAGGATCAATCACCACCTTTATTCTAGAGTCTCCCCTTAGGAGAGTCTCAGAGTGAATCTAGACTCAGAATGAATGAGTTTGGGGCTGTTGAGACAAGTTCCATCCCCTTGCAGAGATGGAACAGAACAGAAGGAGTGAGCTCCCCATCTGAGGAAGCATCCCACCTCAGCCTGGTGGAGGAGAGCCACACCTCCCTTGGGGATGGATGAGCGAGAGAGAGCTAGGGGACTTCTTCCCCTAGCCTGCCTGATAGTTTGTAAGAACAAGGCTCCCTGCCAAATTCAGCTTTGAATCGGCCTGCGTGATGTCCAGCAGGGCTTGCCTGGCCATCAGGAGCGTGTACAGAACACGAAAGGGTGTGGTTAAGAAGATCACAGGGCGTAGATTAACTTCCAGAAGGTTGTGAGCCTGTTTTACAGTATAAAGCAAGCAGTGTTTTCCCATGAGTGGATTTGGTCTCACTCAGGGCTCGGTAGATGAAGGCCTCCGGGCCTTTCTTGTCCGTAAAGAAGGTTTTGTGGGAACGTAACCACGCACCCGTCCACTTACTTCTGCCCGGTAGCCCAAGGGTGAGCGGGCGGTTGCGACAGAGGCCAAGTAGCCCACGGAGCCCAGAATGTTTACTGTCTGGTTCTGTATGGGACAGGGTTGCCAAGCCCTGGATTAAAATGGAAACGCGTTTATGTTACACCCCGGTAGTTGTCGGCTTCTTTTTGGCTCAGTTCAACCTGTGTTGAACAAGGAACCGTAGCCACGATAACAGGAGCCCGCTCCAGCCTCCAGCGTCCTTGCTGCCCTTGACCTGCCCTTGAAATCGGTCATTTTCGTTCTCGAAATCCTCGTGCGGGCGTGGTTCCTCCTGGCGGGGCCTTCCGTCGGGAGCGGCGTGGGGGCTGCAGACGCACGGGCGTCCTGTCTCTCCCAGGCTCGGGCTTCGTCTCCTCTGCAGTGATGCCCCTTCCTCTCTCTCTTCCCGCTCCCTTCCCCCGCTCCCCCAGTCCCTGGTGCGTGAGCCGCTTTCCCGACGCCGGCAGCTTCTCCGGGAGAACTTCGTGCCGACGGAGGGCGAGTTTGTCTTCGCCACCTCCCTGGACACCAAGGACACAGAGCAGATCGCCGAGTTCCTGGAGCAGTCTGTGAAAGGTGAGGGGGTCTGGGGCTGGCCGCCGCGTGCACCCCAGCCCACAAGATTTCACTGGAAGCCGGCGGCTCCGGCCGGCTGTCCCAGGCCAGGGCTTCACGAAGGCCACCCGTCCGTGTGTCCTTCAGACTCCTGCGAGGGGCTGATGGTGAAAACCCTGGACGTCGATGCCACCTACGAGATCGCCAAGAGATCCCACAACTGGCTGAAGGTGAGTCGCCCCGGCTGCCCTTCCCGCATCCGGCTGTCTCTCCATCTGGGTTTCTAGTCCCCACCTCAGCCTGTGTGAGTGCAGGAGCCTTTTCTCGGCCCGTGCCGCCTCGCAGTCCAGCCAGCCTGAGACCACCCCTCTGCACGCCCTCACGGATGGATTCACCAGGAATCAGTTGAGAGCTGCCCCGGCTAGATGAGGTTTCTGTTCTCTGAGCTTGCCCTCTGTGTCGAGTGGGGCCGGCGAGAAGGGAGTCAGCCACGACATAAATGAGATGACGCCGGGGGTGATGAGCATTGTGGAGAAAACAAGTCAAGGTCAGGGGCCAGTGAGGATCTTGCAGTGCTCTGGTCGTGGGGAGAGGCCTCTCCAGAGCGGAACCTTGGGTCGAGACACAGATAGGAAAGGGTCAGCCACGTGGAGCTCTGGGACAGAGCACCTAGGAGAAGGGTGGGGGCAGCAAGTGCAAAGGCCCTGAGGTAGGAACGAGCTCTGCGTGTGCAGGGAGCAAGGCGATTGAGGTGCGAGGTGAGGTTGGGGTGGAGGGCAGGTATCAGATCACACAGTGCCTCGGGGGTCGTTGTAAAATATTCTGGGTTTTGAGAAGCCAGTGGAGGTTTTGGGCAGGAAGTCCCATGGTCCTGTTGTCTTTTTGCACAAGACATCTGTCTGGCTGTGAATGGTGGATGGACGGTTGGGGGTGGGCGGTGCTGGGCAGAGCGGGAGCCCATGAGCAGGAGGCTTGCCTGGAGAGGAGCAGGAGGACTGCCACAGGAGATGAGCTGGAGTGGGGTCGACTGGGTTCCCCGGGTGTGTGTGAGCGGCCTGTGGTCTTTCTCCCCCGCAAATTGTCAACAGCTGGGAGGGTGTGAGCGTTTCCTGTCTTAGGACACTTTCCCTGCCGCATCCCCGAGGCTGAGTCCTGCCTGGCACTTAGTGTTTCCGGAACACATGATGAATGTTCTCCGTGTGAAGGAGTGAGTGGAATGGGTCTCTGTCCCGAGGGAGAGGGGGGACCCAAAGGGGACCCCCAAGGTCTCCATCTGACTTGTCCCCTCAGTCCCGCTGGCTCTTCCTACTCGGGTCGTCTCTTTCCCGTGCACTCTGGAAGTCCAGAAGCTCCTCCCGGGTCCAGCCTCAGCCCGGTGGCCATCCTCGGTCTTCTCTACGGGAGCTCTCCTTAGGCTCACCCCAACCCTGCTCCACCCACCAGTGAGCCTCCAGCAGGGGGGTCCACGCCTCAGCAGCGCCCCCTCACCCCCTGCCTTCCCTCCCCAGCTGAAGAAGGACTACCTCGATGGTGTGGGCGACACCCTGGACCTCGTGGTGATCGGCGCCTACCTGGGCCGTGGCAAGCGGGCCGGCCGCTATGGGGGCTTCCTGCTGGCTGCCTACGACGAGGAGAGTGAGGAGCTCCAGGCCATATGCAAGGTGCCGGGAGGCAGGAGGGAAATAGAGTCCACTCCATCGCGGGGTGGGGAGGGCTGGGGAGGGCTTCTGTTGTGGGAGCCCACCACGGAGGCTTGGGGTGGCCTCTGAAATGGCCGGTTCTTCCTGTAACTGACGGTCAGGGGGCCTCCCTCAACTAGCCCCTGACTCTGCGTTAGCGAAGTGGCCCAGAATTTTTCACAAACGCTTGTGGGAGAGTTTTCAAAAAGATGTGTGCGCCCCGCGTCCTGGACCAGCTCCCTGCGGCTGGCTGGTTCCCTTGTGGCCGGCGTTGTTCTCACGAGTAAATCTGCGCTGCACACAGTACTTATTAGCCCAGGTGACCCATGACGGAGGTCGTCTTAACCATTCACAAGTACCTCAGGGCACCAACCCGGCACCATCTACGCTGTTTACCCAGAACGGCTTTCTGAGAGAGCTACCTGCCCGAGACACTCTTTAAGGCTCTCGATGCAAAAAGGGCTTTCCGGTTGGCATTTTATATCCGTGGTTTGAAGACGTGCGTCTCGCTACATTTGCCGGCAGCGAGTTCTTGTTAGGCTTGACGATGTGGGTAGGTGAGGGAAAATGTTCGGCGGCGTGGAGATCGGAGAGGACACCCTGTTCTGGGGCAGGTGGGATGCGGGGGAGCCCAGTGGAGCAGCACCTGGGCGGGGGGCAGAGTGGACGGAGTGAGGGCTGTTCTGGCAGGTGAAGGGCAGCGGGTGGGCAGGGGAGGGGGGATGCCGCTGGGAGAGGTGTTCCCCGTCTGCGCCCAGCGTGCCCCCCGCCCCCCGCCACACTTCCACTGTGTTTTCTGTGGGTTCTGGTTAGGCCGGGGTGGGGGGCGGTGAGGGCCTCCGGTATGCACAGATCCGGGTCTGCAGGGGCCGGGGGGGGAGGGAAATGCCCGGCCACGGGCCACACCCCGAACCTCTGACATCCCCTGTCCTCCCCGCAGCTCGGAACTGGCTTCAGTGACGAGGAGCTGGAGGAGCATTACCAAAGGCTCCAGGTGAGCGGCGCGGCCTCTCCACCCTCTCAGGGGCAGCGGGCGCTGGAGCTGGCCCGGGAGCCCCATGTGTCCGGGGTCAAGTCCCAGGTCTGGCAGCTGCTAGCCCAGGACGTGGGTCAGGGAGCCTCCACCGCCGGAGGGCGAGTCGCGGGGAGAGCACTCTCGCAGGGGCCCCTGCGTGAATCCCGACAGGGCTGGGGACGCCCCTGGTAATTGGGAGTGTTTGTGGCATGGTCACGGGTGTTTTGGGGGTACGACTCCCTTTCCTGTGTGTTGGTGCCTCTGTCTCTGTGACATTCTTTGGTTCTCTCTCTGGCTCTCTGGCTCGTTTCTTCCCCTCATCCCCCTCCACCCCCGCCCAGGCTCTTACCTTCAGGCATGTCTCTGCCACCGTCTGTCCCCGTTCCCCATTTTCCTCCTCCTTTCCTCTCTCCCCAACCGCCCAACCCCCGGCCTTGACTTTGAGACCGGAGACCCTGTCCTCCTCACGCCATTGCTGTTCCCCACCGCTGTTCCCCGCAGGCCCTGGTGCTGCCCACCCCACGCTCCTACGTCCGGGCGGACGGCGCCGTGGCCCCCGACCACTGGCTGGACCCCAGTGCCGTGTGGGAGGTGAAATGTGCCGATCTGTCCCTGTCCCCCATCTACCCTGCTGCCCGGGGCCTGGTGAGTAGCCGGGGGACCACGGGCTGCAGGCAGCAGGAGGGGCCCGGGGTCGACCTTCCAGACGGGAGATGGGGGAGCAGGGGGTCATGGAGCCCACGCCTGTGCTCCGGGCTGATAGTAACTAGGAAAGCTTGAGCTCGCATTTTATTTGGGTGTCAGGTAACGGGGTCAAAGTCTCCGTTTAAAAAAAAAAAATTCCCCACATGTAGAAAGTAAACAGTGAAATTGTTTCCTTTAGTACCATAACCTCACCTTCGGCTCCTCAGTGATTTTTTGAAAACACAGCTCTCCTGCATAAAAAGCTTTAGGACACTTCCTGCTGGGCAGTGACCTCAGCTGCGGCACGTCTTTCTCAACCGTAATTCGTTTTCACGCTACCAAGTTTTTAAATTCCCGGGTTGATCTCTCTGACTGGTGGCTCAGCCCTCAGGGCCAGCTAGAGGGTCAGCCTGGCGCTAGGGCAGCTCTTCACCTTCTCCTCCGGAATAGAAATCTTGAATTAAGAATGTGCATCCTTTGTGATTCCTTCTGACCCTTCAAAATCTAGCTAGCATATGCTTTTCTGAGTAGGAGTGGACTTCCATTTAAAGCCAGAACTCATTTTTATTTATTTTTTTTTAAGATTTACTTATTTTGTTTTATATTTTTTAGAGATTTTATTTATTTGACAGAGAGAGACACAGCGAGGGAGGGAACACAAGCAGGGGGAGTGGGGGACGGAGAAGCAGGCCTCCCGCGGAGCAGGGAGCCCGATGCGGGGCTCGATCCCAGGACCCTGGGATCATGACCTGGGCCGAAGGCAGACGCTTAACCACTGAGCCACCCAGGCGCCCCAAGATTTACTTATTTTAGAGAGAGCACAGGGTTGGGGGGTGCAGAGGGCGAGAATCTCAAGCAGACTCACTGCCGAATGCAGAGCCCAGCGTGGGGCTCAACCTCACGACTCCGAGGTCATGACCTGAGCCAAACTGAGCCGTCCAGGCGCCCCAGAATTCACATTCTTAAATTGAATTTCTGTCTTAAAATTTCTCACTTAGGCTCCATGGTAAGCAGTCAGGGTCCCCCGGTGACAAGTGGCAGGGCCAGCATTACGGAGCTTCCGTGCTCGCGGGCCCCACGCTTGGCTTGCACCGTGCCGTCCTCACGAAGTACTGAGTGTCCCCGGTGTACAGCTGGGGAAGTAGAGCCCGGGAGCCAAGGTCACTGGGCCAGGGTCACATAGCCCCTGATTTGGGGGCTGGGATTTGGACCTTGCCATCTGGTACTCGAATCTACACCCCGGCTCTGCTGCCCTGCCTCTTGGCCCTGAGGGTAAGAACAGAACAACAGCCTAGATCACAGCTACTGGACTGGCGTTCCTTAAGCACTTAGTATGCTCCAGGTACAGTCCTAAGTGCTTTATTCCCTTATTTAATCTTTATACTTAGCCCCATTGAGTGGATCAGGAAAACGAGGCTGGAGGGGCGGGCACGGGGAGGAGACCTGGGCTAGGGACCTGCTGCTGTGAGTGGCCTGGGGGCTAGAGCCCCCCCAGGAGGGTCTCCATCCTCGCCCCCTCCCCCAGGTGGATGGTGAGAAGGGGATCTCCCTTCGCTTCCCTCGGTTTATCCGCGTCCGTGAAGACAAGAAGCCCGAGGAGGCCACCACCAGTGCCCAGGTGAGACTGCAGCCAGGGTGGGCTTGCCTGGCTGGACCAGCTTCTCGGTGGCGGATTCTGGAAGGGGGTGGGGGAACCCTGGGCCTTCTGACCGCTGCCTCCCGCCTGCTCTCCTCAGGTGGCCTCCCTGTACAGGAAGCAGAGTCAGATTCAGAACCAGCAGGGCGCGGACGTGGACTCCGACCCAGAAGATTTCTACTAGGCTCCCCTGCCCAGGGGCTGGGGGCAGGGGGCGCGGAGGTGGGGACACAGCGGTGTCCTGTTGCTTGGCAGACCTGGTGTTGCGGTCGTGTGGGTTTGGAGTGTCGCGGGTGTGTGTGTGTGTGTGAGGGGATGGCTTAAGCAGAGCCTGGGATTTATTTGTTCATTTCTTTCAATAAATAATTATTGAACACCCATTGTCATGTCAGGGTGTGTGCTGGGCTCTGGGGGTACAGTTCCAGGAGCTCCCGCGTGGGTGGTGTGCGGCAGACAGGGTGCTAGCACCTTCCTGTAGAATGCTCCGCGGCGCTGGAAACATCCTGCATCCACGCTGGGAAGCAGGACGGCCACCAGCCACAGGCGGCCGTGAGCACCGGAAATGCGGCCAGTGCACCTGACAACTGGGCCATTACGTATTTTACTTCATTTTCATGAATTTTCCTATAGGCAGCCACATGCAGTTAGTGGCTATCACAGGGGACTGTGGCGGCCTAGACCGTGAACGTTAACTTGAGTAACCTGCAGCACTCCTGCCAGGCAGGCAGTGTGGGGGCCCCTGCTCCACGGATGGGGGGGGGCAGCACAGAGCAGGGAAGTGGCACCCAGGCCCGCACGGGGGTTCTGACCTAGCAGCCTGGCACTGGGCCCCATCCTCGTGGGAGACAGTGCAGTGACTGTGTGAGGCCCCCCCAGCTCTGCCGCCCACTGACTGGGGACTGCTGGCTCTGGGGCCTGAGCCGTGAGGTTTGCTCATCCATAGGTCCCCAGCCCCGGCACAATGCCCAGCATGTAGTCGGTGCTGGTTTTCCTGATCAAAAAGGAGACCGGGTTGAGCAGCCCTGCCTGCCTGCCTCAACTACTGTGGATGTGATGGTTGGAGCCTGGGCCACCACCTTGTGATCATGAGGAACAAGCCAGGAGTCTCAGGGACCGGTGACCCATGGGCAGCAGCGGGCTTCTGGTTGGGGGGGCGGGGTAAAGGAATAGTTACGATGTGTAATCCAGTGTGACTACCCCACTGTGAAATGGCTTTTGCTTCTCAGGGCCGGAAGAGTTCCTGACTGATACAGCTCTACCTCAAAGGACTAGCAAATTAATGTGCATCCATATTTATCAAACTCAACATGTTTAAGGCAAAATAATTGGTGTTGAGTGCTACGTGTCTGGGGATGCCCATGTCTGTCTGGCTCTGTGTACAGCCCCGTGGTTCCCTGAGGCATGGAACCCAGTCATCCTGAGGATGGGGGGCCGGGGACATGCTCTTCCTCCCCATGCCCCTGCAGACCCCTGTGAACACACCGCCCTGAGCAGCCATGGCTGCCCGGCCCTCCACCAGGGCTGGGCAGGGACGTCCTCACTCACCAAAGACACTCTCGACAATCCCACTGGATAGGAATTTTTATTACCCCATTTGACGGATGGGGACACTGAGGCACAGGGATTTTTTTTTTTTTAAGATTTTATTTATTTATTCACAAGAGACACAGAGAGAGAGGCAGAGGGAGAAGCAGGCTCCCAAGGAGCAGGGAGCCCGATGCGGGACTCGATCCCAGGACTCTGGGATCATGACCTGAGCCGAAGGCAGACGCTTAACCATCTGAGCCACCCAGGCGCCCAAGGCACAGGGATGTTAAGTTACTGTCCCTAGGTCCACAATCTAGGAGATGGAGGGCCAGGATTTGGTCCGAGTGGTTCGCAGGAGGCCCTGTGCCCGGAGTGCCACTTGTGGGGCGCCTCGCGTGCCCCCTCGAGGGTGTGGAACCTAATCCTGCAGGCAGTGAAGGTCTGGGAGTGACGAGATCCTGCTGATGGCTGGAGAGGCAGATGGTAAAGGCATGAGGCTGGGGCGAGCGGGCCGGGATGGGGGAGGGCAGCTAGAACATCTTCCCCTGGTGAAATGCTTCTAGAACTTGTCGAAACCATCAAGGGCAGACGGTGCTCGGAGCTGAGTCCTGGGGAGTGTGTGCAGAGCAGGGCAGCAGGGGAGGGGGGCAGGGGTGCTCACTCATAATTGCGCATGAATCGAATTTGTAATTTCGATTTGTCACATTACCGATGATGTTCATTTGAATCATTTCATTAAGATACTCTCTGCTCAATGTCCCTATAAAGTGACCCTCCTTTGCAATTAGCATATTGTAAGGGGATACCTTGTGCGATGTAAATAAATATTGTCAAGCTTGGCACTTTTTTATTGCTGTCTGTACGGATTCCTGGTTTCCTGTGTTACCCTATATACTCTGTTGGGATTTACTTGGATTTTCAAATTGCCCCTGATATGGTCACTGGAGCTTCTTCAGGCTGACCTCTGTGTTCCTTGCCGTGACCCCACAACTGTGTCCTTGCTTTACGGCACAAGAGATTTTAGGCTCATGCTTGTCCTGCTCCAGACGTGGGAGCAGCCCTGTCTCCCAGGACTCGGCTCCTTTTCGTGGAGAATGGGATTTAGAAGTCAAGCCCTGGTAGCCAGAGGCGTCCCTGCTTCCGTGTCCTCTTAGCTCGACGACATACGTACCAACATGCCCGTGCACACCGTGATGTCTGTTTACTGTTATATCCCTCTCTGTACAGAAACCCGCCGGTACGAACCAGTGCCTCCACCCAACACCGCAGACTCCTCCTTCCGCACCGCCATCCCGCTCAGCGCGGCCGCCCTTCTCGCCCTGACCCCGTGTCCACGCCCGGCACGGTGCTGCCCCCCGCGAGCGGACATCCTCGGGACCTGCATTAGACACCTCCTCCTCTGCTCCTGCTCTCGCAGGGCCCGCCGGGCTCCCCTCCCACGGCGCATCCTCACCTCCCCAGGCCCCAACACCCTGGGGCCCCGCTGCCCCTCGGTGGGCACCCCTTCCCTCCCTATTTGAACTCTGGCTCCCTGTCCGGATCCCCTCCCAACCCCCGGGGCTTGGAGTGAGCACCCCGCAGGCTTGCTGGAACGCCGCGAATGAATGGGTGCCCTCTGCTCTAATCCCCGGTTTCAAAACCATCCAGTTCTCTTCTGGGGATAAAAGGTCAGAGGCTGAGACTGGTGTCCCCTCCACCTCACTCAGGCCAGATGGGGAGGCAGGAACAGCTCTGATCCCTCCCCAACCCCGGGAGAGATTTCTGATCCAGCTGTCACAGCTCTCGGGCACCAGGACCGAGGGAGAGGCCCAGAGAGGCAGGAAGACTTGGCACAGGAGTGCCAGGGAAGATAAGGAGGCCGAGCCGCCGAGGTGGACGGGAAGGAGGGGGCCAGGGAGGAGGGGGAGCCGACCGGAGCCTGGTGCCTGGTGCCTGGTGCACCCTGCCCTGCCCCTCCATGCAGTTTCCCATGGGCCCCGCCTGCATCTTCTTGAGGAAAGGCATCGCTGAGAAACAGCGGGTGAGGTGGTGGACAAGGCGGAAGGGCAAGGCGAAGGGAGCTGGGGTCGGGGGGGGGGGGCGGGGAAGAAGGGGCGTGACAGGCGCAAGGGACCAGGAGCCGGTGAGGGGGGCACAGGCAGGGGCGCGTGACTGAGAAAGTAGAATTCGGGGAGCTCGGTGGGCCGGTGAGGTGGGTGAGGGTGAAATCAGACGTCAGCAGCAAAAAGGAGAGAGGGAGAAGAGCCACCAATAAAAGGGGAACTGGGATGTCCCTGTCCGTCACCACCCGTTTCCGGGGACACCCAGAGAGAGCGAGGACGACGATGACATTAGCTGCCACTTAACCAAGGCACTGCGGTGTGCGCGGCCCTGCGCAACGGGCTGTGCTTCCCTGCTGTCATTTCATCCTCCGGACCACCTTGTAGGGTTGGCCACCCTTGCGTTCCCATTTCACAGATGCAGGCACTGAGGCGGAGAGGCACAAAGCCCCTTGCCTTACACAGTTACCGAGTGGCAGGGTCCAGTCAGGCTGCTTTGATTCCAAGGGGCTTACCTTTCCTTGTTAGGCTCTCAGATGAGCAGAGAGAGGGAGGGAGGGAGGAAGACGGGGGGGGGGGGGGGAAAAAAAAGAGGCGGGGGGGGAGGGCTCCGAGGATAAAGGCAGAGCCCAGAGGCTGGCGGGGCTCCCCAGGTGGCGTGCCCCGTACCCGATGATCATCCTGCCTGGATGCCACCGAACACTGGTCCCACGCAAATGGCTTCTAAGCCTTGGGAGAAAGAATGGGGTGGGTGGGGCAAGAATCAAGGGGGTGTAGTGGAAGGCATTTTGACTCAGAACTCAAATCTCGGCACTCGCTGCACCTGACGTCGAGGGAGTGATTCAATGTCTCCCTGCCCTGGGAGGGGCTCTGCCACTTAGGAGCTGTGTGACCTCAGGCTGTGTCCTTAAACTCTCTGTTCCTCAAGTAAACTCTCTGTTTCTCAAGTAAGACGGGAATGCTGTTCGGTCCCACCTCCCCTACCCACCTCTGAGGTTCAGATGAAACTGGCACTCTGAGCACATTAGCTGTGATTCCAGGCCTCGCTTTCTTGTCCCGGAGAAAGGAGGGGACCGGATGCCCTGGCATCGGAGGCCTCTTGCAGCACAATGGGATGGATGTCTGTTCAGGAAAGACAGAGGGAGAGAGATCAAGATTCCGGGATGGGAGAGAGGAAATGGGAAGTGATGGGGAAGAGGGCGAGAAGCAGTCAGGGGTGGGAGTCGGGGGCCGGCGGGCCGGCGGGGGGGAGAAGAAAGAGGTTGGGGAGGTGGAGGAGAAGCAGGAAAGGGGAGGGGTCGCTCGGAGGAGGGAGGGGACGATGCATTTGGAGAAGCGGATACTGGATCCCTGACCTTCTCCAAATTCCCTCTCCCCCGCATTCCTTTCCAGGAAAGACCCCTGGGACAAGATGAGATCGAAGGTAACCGCTGTCCCCAAATGCCGCCTCACCGTCATCCGCCACTAGGCTGCTCTCTGCGCGTCTCAGGGTAGACCCTTCCCACGAAAGCTTCACGCCCCTCTCTCCTCCCACTCAGCCGTGATTTTGCGGAACTCCTTTTCGTGGTCACTTAGGAGTCTCCCAAAGTGTTTAGAAGGCGCACCCATTCCCCAAGTGTCTCAGAGACCCAAGAGGGACACAAGCATGAGTTTTAAGACGAATCAAAACTGTTGGTTTTTCTTTTGGTGGTTTGGAAGTTTCCCATAATTTCACCCCAGAATTTGGAGGACCGCGGTGCTGTCGCTTTGCGGTCTCACGGATCACTCCTCTTGCACATTTCGATCTTGCACGTTGCAATCTCAACCTGCATTTC